CAGGCTGCAGCACAGGGCTCGTAGTGACTCTTGGCAGAGCAGGCTAGTGCTGTGTAATAAAAGATAAATCTATTTATTAATCTTTTTTAAGTACTGAAATACTGGGGTTTGTTTTGAAATATTTGGGGACATCGTGGAGTTCTGAGGCAATTTGATGCATGCCTCTGCAGTCTTACCACCCTTTAATTTCTTTTGAGATTTGGGATATTTAAAGTTTCACTCATGTAGAGAATTTCCTAGGAAACCTCTTATTCTTAGAGGTGATTGCTTTGAATTCTTGCATTGGGCTGAGAATATCGGTGTCATGTTAATTATTTGTCCTAAACATGTGCCATATTTAGATTATATTCCTGATATTTAATTCTAATCATATTGTAGCTTCTTAATTCACACTTTTTCACTTCACCAAAGTCTTTAATGTTTGTTAAATAATCAGGATGTACAAGTGCTCTATTCTATTTTTAGATCTTGTTACGTACACGACATGTAGATACCCAAGCTAATTAGAGGTTTTAAACACTGATATTTTCAGGTGAGAAGATGCCAGAACTGAAGTTTCCTAAACAATCTTTTTTTCAGTTCTATGCGTGATACGGTTCAGTTTTTAATAACATATTTTCTCACTCTATTTTTAGCTTGCTTTGCCAAGGAGACAGAGATCACACCATTACATTGTACATTTCTCTGCTCATCCTCCCACTTATAAGCTGGCTTATTGGAAATAAGTTGGTGAGGTTGGTAGAAGACAAAAACATGTTTAGGTCCATTAAATGAAATAGGCGCAAGGCAAAGAGGAGAGATCCTGCAAGCTCCTTCAGCAGAAAGAACTGCTACAGAGAGGGCTCACTCCTGCTTAGAAACCATAGAATCTATGTGAGAGAAAACCTCAGTAAAGTCCCCAGCAGAGAAAATGCTCCAGCTAGAGACTGCAGTCAAATGTGAAACAAAAGTCAGAAAGAAATCAGGCTTCAGTCATTCCAGTATTTACAGACAAGTCTCTTTCTTTAGCCTCCCCATCTCCTTCAGCGCAGAAGGCACATAGGGCACCGGATCACTATTTCATGTTCCTTGCATTGCTTCTGGTGGGAGCAGATCTGTTCATGACTTTCAGACAGTATTTAAATCCTGTGCTAAAGATAACGTTTTTTTTTTTTCTATAATATATGCCTGAATGCTTGAGAAATATTCTTTATTTAATCTTTACCAACATTCACAGAAGAAAGGTCATTATTCCCATTTAATCTCCAGCACAGACTTCTGTCTATTACTTCAATACTTCATACCTTTTGCCTTGTGCCTCTGTGTGTTTCTGTCTCTTCCCCACCCTCACTACCTTCTCCACTTCCATTAGTGTGGTTACAATCTCCATTGCACAGACTTCTTACTTCAGTCCTGGCCTTCAATTCCAGGCTGCCTACCTGTGTTGCCTCCTCTCCTGTCTGAAACCATGAATCACTATGCCTGTACAGGACACTGATGCTTTCCTCCACATCCATAGGGATGAATGGCCGGCACTCCCTCCTCTCTTACATATATGGGAGTTTGTGCCACTGATAGTGTTTCCAGTACTCTCCTTCTCCTTTTATCCCAGATTTCCTGCTTAGGTCGTCAGATGTGTTCTTCCTTCATCCTGCTGTCTTTGCACTGCTACAAACTATGAGTTTCAGACATCTTTTCTGTTCGATCTCAGGTTTATTCCTCCCATCGGCTCTGATTTCATTATTCCTTCAAGAGCAACAAGCTCTGACCCCTGGACCAGCTTTCTAGTCTGTGCTTCCTTGTCCTTGGCTCTCTGCCTAGCCAGTTTCAACCTGTCCTTCCTCTTTTCCACAGACTTCTATGAAAATTCTCATTTTCCTTTCTAGCTCCTACTTGCTTTCTCTAAATCCAGGGTCTTCCATTTAGCCTATTCATTATTCCTCTCCAGTTCCTAGTCAAAGCTCCTTTCTTACTGTCCCAGACTGCCTGTATTCCTTATCCCCATCTACAGCTCTGCCTTTCATCTGCTCTGGCTCATGTCCCTTCTGTCTTCATATAAGGTATCCACCTTGATGTGTTTTTGCTGAGGTTGCAGAAGGAGAAAACACAGCTTCCCTTCTGTTAACTGGGTGCCTGGCCACCCTGCAGGGTAGAGAGGCTGGAAGCATAGGAGAAGGCAGCTCAGGCTTTCAGCAGAAGGGTGGGTAAAACTCTTACATGTCTACTAAGCATATGCAAAATGAGTTTTTTTTTCTCAAAGACACTTAAGTTTAGGCATAGCTTCTTCAGAAGGTAAAAAACGGTCTAAGTCAAACGTCCCTGATACACTTAATACACCTGAACAAAAATATAGGGACACTAGAGGAATTCAAAGGAAAAGCCTCCAATTCTATTTTAAGATGGACTAGACAGTATTTTCTCCTTTCATCCGAAGCAGCTTAACTATTTTCACTAGAATCTTCCCAAAGGAATCAAACTGAGGACTATATGTAACCCTGAAATTCTTAGCCTGATCACTCAACATTCACAATGTTATATGAATTCAAAACAGTGTCTTGTAATGCTCTGTCTTCAGGAAGTCCTAATTATATCCTCCTGACAAGTAGTAATTTCCAGTTATCTTTGATACATACGGCAGAAGGTTGCATTTCTCCATGGTGTCAGCTGGACTCCCGCAGCTTGGCACACATCTGCATAAGCCTGCAGGTTTTGACAGAGGGCTGTGTTGTTCAAATGAAGTTCACAGAGATCATACTGGCAGGCTTCAGAATAACTTTGTGGATCAACTACTGAGTGGCAATTCTGGAATGGACCATTGGGATCTGTGATCAGACCACAGTATTTATAGCTTTGGATCATATGTTTTTCATCAGCAGTGCAATCTGGAGTATGGCCATCATCTGGCAAGCACCTAGTGTGGAAAAAAAAAGACGTGGAAAAATTCACCGATGAACTTTGGATGCACTAGCACGTAAGATGCTTTTCAAATCACATCTAACAAAACTACAGGGCTGTCCCCAGGCTAAGCATGACATATTTTAAAGCTCTACATTTCAAACACTTAGGATAGAAATTCAGATTTTAATATGATCTCAACCTCATAACCTTTAAGAGGCCTGGAAGAAACCCAAATATTTATTTTGGCTTTCTTTTAAGTCAAGCTTTCTACATGGAAGATATCTAGGAAGGGCAAACAAAAAGTAAAAGCATTTGAAGTTAAGCCTCTACTATAATTAAATAATATTTTGTGAAATTATAAAATAAATAGCAAGGTAAAGTATCTCAGAAGAGTTCAAACAAGATCTTCAAGTATTAGCATTAATATACTATAACAATAACTGAAATCTTAGTGGGCATCTGCAGTGTTTTATTCAAATTTTCTCTTTTTAATCACAGTTAAATTTGCTGTGAAACTTTACCCAGATAAAGTAAGTACACTGACAAGAATATATTTTATCCTATGTGCCTGACATTTTTGGCCCACATAAAACAGTTGCTTAAAACACTGGTCATTGCATAACCAACAGCTAAGGCCTAACATCCCGGTTGGAGTCCTACCTGGAGTCATTGTAAACCTGCCAACTGTTGCCAAGGCTGGCCGAGTTTGTTTCCATCTCTCCATCTGGGTTTAGAAAGTCATCTGCTTTGTGCCCATTATAATTTCCACATATTCCACAGACTTTAGACATATAGGTACTGGGAAGAGTGATTTCTGTTCTGTGATTTCCATCAAACTTGACATTCAGCCCAAAGTCAGTAGTAACCACAACATACTGCCCACTGAAGGAAATACTGACACCCTGCACCAAGGTCAGAGGGAGCACCTGGCTGACTCCATCAACCTGCAGGCACAGAGAAGGACAATCGCTATAATCACTTCAAAATAAATATTTTTAATGGTGACCCTCTTAGATCACATCCCTAGACTGAGCATAGGACTTGCACAGTGAGCAGTAAGAACTCACATTGTGTTAAGTATTATTTAGCATGAATGTGTATATGGGCACATAATCTAGGGCCTTGAGGCCATAATACATAGCTTCGTAGCTTCCAAGTGTGGCCAAAATGAGCTTGGTGAACCAGACCCAGCTGACAGAAGTCCAAGACTTAGCATGGTCTATCAGCAGTAATTGCTTACAGACCTCTTTTATTTTGGATCAAATAAGATTAAAAAAATGTAGTTAGAATGCATTCTCAGAAAATTTTCAGGATTGGACAAATCTTGAAAAAGCTTCTTTTTGTTTCTTTCTCTTTTCACATTTGAAATGCCAGAACATAGAAAGTAAGTATCCAAGTAAAATTTTCAATTTATTTAAAATTTACTAAAACTAGTATCTACTTTGAACATTTGTTCTTATTACATATGTAAGAAAGTTTGGTTTACTTAGAAACACCTATGTAATAAAAACAGTAAATACAGGGGAAAGGTATGAAAGAGAAGCTGTTGCACAAATGTGGATATATGAGTTCACTATGTTTCTAAGATTAGAGGGGAAAGGTCTCGGTGTACATTTAAACCTTTATCTCCTGTCACATAAATCACTGTACTATTTTCTTATAAGAAGGGTGGTAACGAAGTAAGGTGACCTATTCATTTATTGGGGGTTTGAATCAAATGTATCTGCTGACTTGGCCCTTTATGGAAAGGAGCCATAAAGAAGCCTTGAAACACAATAGCTGGCCAAGTGACACAATCAGTGTGAGGAGAGTCACCAGATTGTCACTCTAGGATTCTCTCATCTGGCCCTGCTTTATGGCAAATGCCAGGTGTTAAGTGAAGTTAGCAGTGATGTGGAATAACTAGAAATCAGGGATGAGCATGCACCTTTACAGGCTACCACACAGGATCGGGAAATAACCACCAGCATGGACTTGGTTAATGCAGGGCCTTTTTATTCCCTGATGCAGACCAAGCTTGAGCATGGGGGGCAAGCTAGAAAGGTAGGCTAGCCCACCAACCCCATCTGAAGTGTCAGCTCTAATCCCACCTTTCAGCAACACAGCACAAAATTTTAGCCTATGTTTTCAGTCCTGAAATTCCAATGTTTAAGAACTCCACACTACTCCTATTCCTAAATATCTGACTGCCCTTTAAATATATATGCATGCTGGAAATTTGTAGTCATTGTGCAACAATTTCTTCATTCACACTATGAGTTACTGATGACAGATAGTGGGCTCCAACCTTACCTTAACAACTTTGTTTTTACCCAGATTGATCCTGTAGCCATATACATTGATGTCCACATATTGGACATAGGACACGCGAGTGTTGCTTCCCCTGTGCTCATTGGCTGCTTCCACATTGAAATAGGGCAGCGAGCTGTTTCTCTCGCACAGCTTGGAGAGGGTGTAGGTGCAGGTGCCCATGAAGTCATGACGTTGCTTGTCAAATGTGTAATAGTGAGGATCCCCATGTATACTGCAAATTGCTTCTGGACACAAGAAAAAGGAATATGTTCTCATTAACATATGGATACATCCAGAAAAGCCACCTCATTGTGCAGCGGGAAAACACAATCATCCCCATTTTATAGATTACATATGGAAGAACAGAAACTGAAAAGGCAGATTTATATGGCATAAGGCAATGCCATAGAGAGATACCCAAAGACATCAACTGAAGCAAATAAGTAGCACTGGTAGTAAAAAATTTAGGTGCCCTTCTACAACCCATTGACTAGCATATGTGATTGGCTAAAATTACCTGTCACTGGAGGTGGTGTAGGTTCTGTTGGTGTAGGTGTTGGTGGAACAGGGGTAGGGACAGCTTCTGTAAGTAGAAAAGACAAGGCAATATAATGACTTATAACATTACAGGATGAACACTACTTACACACCAACATACATGAATTTCCACTTATTCTTCACCAGCATAAAGTTAGAAGTTTTTGATTGAAGCAAGTGGAACTGCCTGTATTTAAAAACGAGGATGTGTGGGTCTTTTGAGCACTTAGGAAAGCTTGTCTGATTGTTAGCTTGTTGACAGTGACTGAGCTTGTGCCGGCATGTTTCTCTGGAGCTGGAAGTGTATTTACAATTGTCTATGTGACTCCCTCTGGTGTGTATGTTAAGACATGAAGGTCATACTGTCTGCAAGTGTTGGCCGGTCTGGGAGTGAGTAACCTGCCAGCAGATGCCATATAGAAGAAACAAATAACTCTCAGGGCACTGGTGGTTTCTAATCAGAGAGAGTTTTGTTGTTTCTTCAAAATGATATTTATTTCTTAGGAATGTGACAGCTGTAAGAGCTTTCACTGACAGACACAACAGTCGTGTTGTGGAGTCTTCCCTCCTGCCTGCTTCTGCTTGCTAACAAATATTAGCATCTTCTCCATCTATTCTTTAACCACCACAAAGACACCTTTTAAAAGAATTGGTCCTCTTGGTGTACTTGTATGTGTGAGCTAGCAACACCAGGGTGAGTATTCTTTTAATTCATGTTCATTCACCCAGTGACGTGCAAATGAGTGATGGATCTGAATCTCTGGAAGTATAACAGACTGACTAAAACCTTCAGAGCACACATGCATTCACTCCTGCCCCTTTGCAGAACAAAGAACAACTCTCCTCATTCAGGTACTCTCCTGTTGCACCCTTGTGAGCCCTCCACTGTGCTTGGAGTGTGTGATAACAGTCAGTGTACAAAGGAAATAACCAAGTGATGAATTGATTCATGGAGAACAATGCTTTCCAACCTACTTATAGATGCACTATAGGTATATAGTCATCCAAATGAATCCACAGGTAAGGCAGTTGGTCTTCTGTATTACTGTAACTGCTAACGACATTATTTATAGGGATTAAGTTGTAATACAGAAAACAAGTCATAGGAGAACAAGTTAAAGATTTTTAAATAATGATGCAGTTAACTACATACTATGATGGTACTGCTTTTGTGCTAGCTATGGGATTCAAACTCAGCTGGATGTCGGGGTTTTGCAAGATACTTATGATTATACTTTAGAAGAAGCCAACAGACTTCACATAACTTGAAGTCTAGTGTATACTGACAAATCTCTGCACAAAATGATCCCATTCACTTAATGAGCTCTAACTTCAAAGCTGAAGATATTTTGTAATAACCTGCCTGCAAAATGGGATCAGCTCCTTTGTATGCATTGGTTTCTTGTACACTTGTCTGTTATATGCCCATTTCTTCACATCCAGCTCCCTACTCCAGTGTAAATGCAGTTTTTGCATATCTAGCCCAGAATTGCTCTTTCTCCTCTTTCAGCATTGGTGAAAAATTACAGGCATCCTGATAATGGCTGTATTCTCACAGTGGATACTTCCCAACAAGCTTTAAGTTAACTTTGTTGTAGAGCTGAGAAAAAAAACAGAAGAAAACTTCTTCCTAAGGTTATCATCCTTTGAGATCTAAGGTGAAGAAGTTCTGCGAATGACCTTATGAATATCAAACATCATAACCTAAAGACTGCTTGCTAAAGTTGCCTTGGAAGCTAATTTTTCATGTGACAAATGGACATATATTTAGCTTTTCATTAGTTTCATGAAAACGTCTACTCAATCAAACATTCTTGTAGAAACAAAAAGGTTGGGAGGACTTTGACTTTTACCAGACCTAATAATTGACTTAACTTTCATTATATATTAGTAGCCATACAGTTGAACAGAGAGAGGAGCACTTTTCTCTTGTCTCTTGGAGTTACGTTAGTGCACCATCCAGTGGCTGAATCATGTGCTAATATGCCTGGGAAAATTAAGACCTGGCTCTCCCTAGCCCTCAAAAAAAAAAAGGCCCCAAGTATTTTTCACAGAAGTTTAAAGAAAATTATATGTTCTGAGGGTGTGGACCTGAATGGAAATCTTTGTTCTGGCTACTGTAAATTTGAAACATTTTATTTTCATTATATGAGTAGTATTTCACAGAGAGCGAGGCCTATTAAGACATAATAACGCCTTCTATATGGTTTTCAGCAAGTTTCTTGTGCAATTCACATTTTCTAAGTATTGCATGCTTGTCAGTAAAGATGGGATGAAACTGTAATTCACTTCCAGATCCTAGTCATCCACAGCTTGTGCCAGTCTGGGCTGATTTGTTACAGGGTCAGGGAGTGGTAGCGTGACTCGGCTTTATTGACTCACTGTTATTTCTTTTTGTGACATATGGCAGTGCTCTGTATTTGCTGAGCTCATAGGCTGTAAAATGCTGATTAGAGCATTTAATCTGGAATCCAAGACCAATATGCATAGCCTTGGCTGGGTTTAGAGATGCACTCCAGACTTAAAGTGAAGGTAAATTTTGCTGGACCTTATGAAAATGGTCACATTTGCAGAGAAGGGGGTGGCTTATTCTGAATGTTTGAGGTGGTGAGGAAAGATTTAGGAAGAAGCTACAACAAAACAGATAACATTCAAATGAAGCGAGCTGTAAAGTTTTTGCCATTTCTCTTTTGTGGTTCAAAGTTATAAGGAGTTGCTATATCATATATGGAATTTAGTAATGGTCAATTCCATTGACAGCTTAAACAGAGATGAGGAAGGAGTATACACTAGGGTGCAAACACAGACTTACCACAGGATCCGTCCCTTACTCTCACATTGTCCAGTGCTGTATCCCCATACTCTGTCAGTCCGCGGACAGCCTCAAAAATTACCTAGGCAGGATGCAGAGTGAATCACCACATCAGAGTTGTTTAGGCAAATATGAGACCATTTCCCTTAGCATGTTTTCAAAATATTCTTTCTGGTCTATCTCTAAAGGCACCAACTAAGCTGAGGCTGTAACAGTTTTCTTAGCTTCCCTCAGAAGCCTAGCATATATATTCTGTAATAAGGTAAGAACCTCAAGAAACATTGTCCTCTATTTTGCTGACTGATAAATGATTTATGAGGATTAGTTGTCTGGATTCTACAGAGGAGTCCAATGTAGGCAGCATCCCAAAGTTCAAATCTTAACTCACAGCAGACAAACCTGCATTTAATTAAGGCACCTAAAGTCCTTGACTTCGTGATAAAATGAAGGAGGGAAGGAAGGAAAAATAGAGAAAACTAAATATATTTTATCCCCTAACAGCACCAATAAAACTCAGGGGGTTGTTTGTTTCTTCTGTAAGCTCATCGGCACAGAGAATGAGGCCATTTTATTTACAAAATATAAACCAAGCAAATCTTGGTTGTATTTTCTAGTTTACATGCACAAACTTTTGCAGCCTGCAAGGGGAGAACAAATGCTGATACCTTACAAAGAAATTTATTCTGAAAATGTATTACCTTTATCTTTCTCTGTGCTGGAAAAGTATGAGTGATGGCACCATAGTTCCACGAGGAACTCTGGTTTCCCTTCCGACTCCACACCACAGACTCCCCTGTGTTGTCTTGGATAATCACTCTCAGTTCATTCATGTCTTCTGACCCAAACATATGGTACCAGAAATCTATGCATATTTTTTCAGAAACTACAGTATCTGGGCTCTCAAGCCTGTTAGTGTCGAATGGGATCAGATTACTTGCTTCTTGGTAGATGAAATAGCCTTCTGCAGAGTGAAAAAAATTAAAATATGGTTGAATCTTTGTAACTTCTTAGGTGTCATTTAAAACCAAAGTACAACCCAACTCTGGAAGTAATCAAGGGCATCATTAGCAATGCAAAGAAGAAAAGTAGAGGGTGTTTGGAATTTACATTGCAATGGTTAGCACCATGTAGTTATCCAAACTAGAATGTGAGCTGGAGAGCAAAGCAAATACATCCTAACTCACATGAACAGTTATGTTGGGATCACAAATAAAGACGTAGGCCTCTTTCAAGAGACAGCACCTCCAGACACTGATCCATGTTCAGTTTCCTCTTTTCTCAAAGGGAAATAATGCAATCTGCTATACACCTTCTCTTGCGGGATATATTTTTTTCTAAAGATTTTGGTCTCAAGATGAGCAAATCCCTAGCACAAAGAAAATTCCAATCCGTCAGCATTTGGTTTTGTCTCAAAATGGAAGGGATAGAAAGCAATGCAGATATTTCCATCAAAATATTTAGGTTTGACATTATGAAAAGGAAGGAAACTTTCAAAATTCAAAACCACACAGTATTTCTTTTAGGATTTGAAATGGTTTAGTCTGAGTTGGTTCAATGAGATCACATTTTGCTTTACTAGGGCTGAAATCTTTTGCTTTCCATGGGCTAAGATCAAAGCTACATTTCCCCATTGCAGTTAAAGTCAAGTCTCCCCCATCTGACTATGGAAAAGAATCAAAAAGAAATGAATAACCATTTCTATATGGTAAAGTATGGCTCCACACATAGCGTCTAACATTCAGTCATATGTTTTAATTGGCAAGAAAATATAAGTCATGTTTAAACTTATATGGTCTGTGTCAATTCAAAAAGCAAAACATTATTATTTGTGTGAACCCAAATTAAAAATATTTAATTTCTTCTTTCAACAGGCAATTTTGTTATTATCAAAATACTAAAAATGCAGAAAATTATTTAGCAAAAACCCCAACTAATACTGTTCTAATCCACTTACTGAGTCTGACAGTAGCTGACCTTTCAGTCTCGAGGTAATTACAGAAAGCAGTATGACTGCAGACTGATCCCCCATAAATGGATCTGCTAGTGCAAGGATAGTGGTACAAACAGATAGAGATGGAGCCATACTAAGCACTCGTTTGATGATATGACCATGTTAGACCCCAGTTTTTCAATCATATGTAGCTGAGAACAAGCTTTTTAAAGATATTCTTTAATTTCAGACTTGATCTTCTAACACTTTGCTAGCGTGAACATTATCTAGTGCCAGTACAAGACCTCTCTTGAATAATGATCTGTCGCACATGACTGCATTCTCTATGAAGTCTTAGGCATGACATAATTAGCTTTCTTCTAATTCCATGCACTGATAAAGATTTCCATCCCATGATGGTGCAACCCAGTTTAATTTACTCCTAACTGACACGGTGAAAAGTCAAAGACAGGTGTCAGCATGAAACGAAACTGACACATTTCAAAGGGCTTTGTAAATGTCTTTTCTCTTTCAAAGAAAGAAGAATAAAGGTGGTCAAGCTGTCTTCAAAAGGAAATGAACAATGCCACAACCAAGCACTTACTTCCATCAGGATAGTCTCCATTAGGACCCGTTCCATCAGTCGGAGTGTCATGCTTGGTTCGTATCCACGTTCCCTGGTTGGCATTGAAAGGTTGGGTCCAGTCACAAAATGGTCTTGAGTTGTTGTTGAAATCACATCTGGTGAGGTAAGCTGAAATACAACACATTAAAGTAAGAAGAGGTGCTAGTATGTTCAAAATCTGCCTTGGATATTAACAGCACTAGTGACATGCAGTTACCTGTTTCAGGATCCCGTGTTCTCAAGCCACCAGTTGGTCTTTGCTTGATCCTGCCAAAAAAAAACCCACAGTGAAGCCCTTGTGGAATTACTGACTCAAAAACCGTTTAAGAAACCATGTTGGGATCTCAACATATGTTGGGTGTTTCACTGAATAACTGAACAGACCTAGGGTTTCATCCATGTCTGACTCTCTCTCTTCCCATATGTACTTACTCTTTCATGATAAAGCTCTGAGAGTGAGTCAAGGGTGGGATATGTTCGCTTCATCTAGTGTGTCCTATTGAACGGTACTCCAAGGTACAGGGAGCTACAGAAGGGATGGATGGATGCAGCTCAGCTCAGACAATACCAGGATAATAGCTATTAACTTGCTCATGGCATTGTCATCCCCACTGTTGCAAAGCAAAGTGTGTAAATGCCAGTAAATTAGTGTACCATGTAACTCTGTTATTTGTCATCTCATTCAGCTCTTCTAATTTACCCTGAAAATGCTACAGAACAAAAGCAGTTACAAATGCATAGTCCTTGTGGTGCTACAAAGTCCTGCAGAGATGAGTTGACACAAGACCAAAATCCCACCACAGTTCACAGCATAAATGGCTCTGCTTTTTGGGTGTTTTGCCTAGGCAAGGGATTTCCAGGACTGCAAGGCTACAACAGTAGTTCTTGACATACTTTGATGGTGGTCCACAGTTTCAGGAGGCAGGGTTCACTTCCAACCTCTGTGGTGCCCCCTTCTTAATTATCCTTATTGTACTTGATACAGTACACATAATCTGTCCTTAAGTGAATGCATTGCAGTGAATGTCCCCACTGCCCCCCAAAAATCTAAGCAATGACATTCAGAGAAACTGGGGAGATTAGGAGCAAATATCACACAATCAATTCATCAATGAAATACAGCAAGCAACTGGAAAACAGACTGAACTAAGGCTAAGGAGGAAAGAGAACATGTGAAGACAGATAAAGTAAGAAAATATTCTTTGCTCTTCCTTCCTGGATTTCTTCTTCCATGAGAAAGGGAAAACTGTGACAAGTTGCCACTTGGTCTCTATTCAGTGCTACCTCTAAATCGTTACACATCAGGCAAGTCCTAAGGCAAAGTTTACTGTAGACATATTCAGAGTCAAAAGTGTTTTATAACTACTGCGGTTATTTTGTCAAGATCTCTCCTTTTCAGATGTGCATTAGAAATCCACGTGTTACAGGTTTCTCTCATAGACAGGAGCCAGTGCAGAATTAGGCAACAACAAAATTCAATTATTTCTTCTCTTAAAAAATGGCATGGTTTAATCGTACAACATTCCACATTTAAAAAGTGAAGAAACATTCCACATTTAAAAAGTGAAGAAAAGATATCTATTATTAACAGTTAACCTTCCTGAATTAAGCTACATTCAGTACTGTGCTACTTACCCTGTAGTATTCAGCACTGAAATACAGAATAAAATTAAAGTGTATTGTAAATGCCAGAGGGTCCCCATGCTAGAAGACAGGGTTAAGTCTTCCGTGTGGTACAGTTTGCATAGTAATCCACCAGCTGTACTCAGCAAGGAGAAAATGAGGATGAGCTACAGTGAAACAGAAGAATATATTGCCCAGAGGGTGGAGGCGATTATAAAAATCTGTCCCATCATGTATCAGTTATGTTCCCTGGGTTATCTACCTTGAGAAAAGCACATATGAACTGAAAGCTCATATTCTGTGTCACTTGCTTTGACAAGTTGCTTGTTGTTTGCTGGAGAAATTGATTTGATTTTAGAAACTTCTATTGCTGCTGTTGTATATTAAGGGATTTTTAAATTTTAAAGGGATTTTTTCTCACATTGATAGCAAGACAACTTTCTTCATTTTAAAACTCCTGCCCAGCTTTCACTGCTAGTATAAGTGAGATTTCTCATATTGACTGAATTTTCTCCCTTTCTGAAACTAGCATTCAGCAGAGCAGATAACAAGCTTTCAATTTACTCACAACAGTCATTTTGTTGCAGGCACAATTCAGGAACTTGCTGAAATATTATTGCTACCCTATTGACCCTGCTTAAAAATAAAAGGATCGTTTTCTGGGCTGCAATGAACTCTGTGTTGGTTGCTGGCACAGAAAAAGCAGGCGGATCATTCCCACTGCCACTTGGGCCTTTGCTGTTCTATTCTTTTGCAGCATTCCTTGCATTGGGGTCTGCAAAGAAATGGCTCAAAGGCAGCCAAATTCCCTACTTCACCTGAATTTCATGAGTGATGGGAATCAAAGGGGTATCAGAAAGTGTACAGTGTTTCCCTGCATTGCCTGGAAACCCCAGACCATGGCTCTTTTTTTGTCTAAAAGGGGGATGTCTCTGGGCGTGGGGCTTTCAAAAAACTCTTAGTTACATCCACTTTCCCTTTGTGATTATATTCCAATGAGTAAGGTCATTAAGGCTTCATAATTTAAGTCTGGAATTTCTTTAACTCCCTTTCCCCCTGCTCAGCACAGAATATTTTCATTTGTCATTAACAAGTAACTGAGGAGACTGCTTACAGAAACAAGAGAAATAAGGAAGGATCAAGGGAGGCTAGGCAGAAACAAACATATTTCAAGTTAGATGTTAACTGATGTGTTGACAACGGGCCTGGGGCTGCATTCTGCCACAAGCTCATGCCCCACAAGCCCTTCCAAAGCCAGAGGGTGGATGTTCATTTGACTGCTAATCATCCCTCTCCAATGAAAATCCTTTCCTAGGAAAATGTGTGTATTTTTGCCAATCAGTAAACAGGGAAGAGGATTTCTGTGATTTAGAGACAAAAAAGACTCATTCCCTGTACAAAACCACTGACCACACATTTCCAGTTCAGTTAAGGCGAGCTCAGTGTGAGGGGGAGAATACAAGTGGTCTTCAGATAAAAGTGGCATTGAGCACACAGCATTTTCAGCGGGGCTGCTGAAACGCTGGTCCAGCAATCTGGGCAATAGCTGTCCTTAGCACTGTAATGGGTAGCAAAGAGCCCTGCATGTATGCACATGCTTTCCTTCTGCAGACAATTTAGGGATTCCTCACGAATCTGATGCTGCTCTTATGATTCTGACAAGAAGACATGAGTCCATCTTGGAAAGAAAGCAACCCTCTGGTAAATCCATCCATCCAGATGATGCACTGTCTTTGACTCCTCCTCACTCACGGCAAATACGAGGCACTGCAGCACCATGAACACTCCTGTCCATAGAACATGGCATGCTCTCCAGCCATGCTCTGTGACCTTTTCTGTCACTTTGCCTGTTTAATGCCAGCTCAGGTACTCTGTGAAAGGTGAACTGGAGTACTGATTAGGGCTTTTCAGCGAGGGACAAATATTAATAACCTCTTTTACATATGGGAAGCATGACAAGGAAATTATTTGTCATTTGATTCCAGTGGGATGTGACAGTATCCTGCATTCCTGACAGTCAAACTGATCACCTTGCAGGCCTACTATTTCTCTTCTGCATGCTTCATATGTCTGAAAGGCGTCTGGGAGACACTGCCATTTGTATAAAATACTGGTCTGGACTGCACAGGAACCTGAGGAAGAAGAAGAACAGCAGTTCTTCATTTCTAATACAATGAAGCTACAATTCTTTCCAAGGAAGGGCATTTGCAGACAATCTTACAAGCAAGTTATGTTTTACTTCTGCCTTAAACCAAGGATGCAAGTGATGCACACCTGTCAGCTAATCCCTATGACTGGCTTCCTAGTGCTCTGTACTGCAGTGTTTCTTTTTGAAACCAGATTTCGCCCCATCTGCAGCCAGCATTAGAAATTCTCCTCACCTGCTGCCTGTTGACAAGGCACACTAGGGCTACTCATGGGAACTAATTGCCTTTAGGTAACACAAACAGATTTCCCATATAAAATCTGCAGAAGAAGATGCCAATAGTAGGGCTTGTCAATGAACAGCGTGACATGCAACATCCTCAAAAGGACAGAGATAATACTGCATACAACTTCACTTCTGGCTGCTGGTCAGAAAGAGGCTCTTAAAGAGACTCTCTTAATTTTTGCAGGATGAATTTATGTTTCCCAGGAGACAGAATCAGCCTGATACCCCTGCAAAGGGACAGCCCAATGAAGACACAAGCAAAAAAAATTGTCCCAAGCAAGACAAGTCAAACAGTAAAAGAAGCAAACTCAACAGTTCATCCATTCCAATGAGTGCTGTCCAATGCAGCTTTTGCTGCACAGTTATTCCAGCATATGTAATTGCCCTCAAGTATCTAAACCTGGTTACTCCATTTTCTTGAATCCAGGTGTTCTCTGATGAATAGCAATTGCACTTTGCTGTGTTGCTAATGCTCAGTCTGTGGTGTTGTAATCAGTAGAAAGCTAGGGAGCTTGGCAAGCTTAAAGAATGGGGAAAATTATACAAAACCTCTTTCTCCTAAACCATAGGTTTGGGGCTAGTTGAACCTCATAGTGACAGGAGACTGCTACACTGCTGCCTAGCACAAAACAGAGAGGTCACTGGCTGATATGAAATGCTGATGTCTTGTTGGGATGCACTTGCAGCACACGTATATCCCAGGGTCTATTCTGTCTGAGGCTATTTCTAGAAGAAATTTTAATTGGATTATCTAAATGGCTGTTCTTAAATGGCAGAATTCTGTGCAGATTCTCTTAATTTGGAATACATCAGGTTCAGTAAATTTGCACATAAAAACTAAACATCTTTATCTGATTTTCAGACAATATGAATGTGTGTCATTAGGCTTTGCACAGATTTAACTGCATTTGGGTTTTGCATCAATTTATGTAAATTGATACAATTTGCATGAGTAAAAGGATCCCTCTGTTGTTTCTATTCAGGTAATAATTAAGTTCTTCCTCCGTCCTAACAAATGACTGACTCAGCTTTTGCAGCATGTAATACCTCTGTCACTGTTTCTGGAACGCCCAGTGCCCTCTGGGCTCCACTCTGCCTTTACTGACGTGTATGAGAAGGCACTGCCGATCTCTGGTTCCTTCAGAAATCTGTCTATGCTGGACTCTCGTCACTGCTTTGGTAAATCTTCAACTAAGGAGTTAGGAAACAAACAATCAGCACCCATAAATCCATAATCACATAAATTTAGATTATACAGAAGTGCAACTAATCTCACCTTTGCTCTGTTGAGTAACATGTTTTGATAGGCTGAGGAAGAAATACACAAAAAAATCTCTGTTGCTAGAAAGTAAATGGATGTTTCTTGGTAAATAAATGGATGAGTAAAGTGTACTTGTGTTCTGTTGAGCACAAGCTGAGGTTGCTTTTCTAACTGCTGGCTCTCCAAACTGAAGCTTAGATTTGAAATTCAAGCTGCCTTTTTCCTGGTCCGAGATGTATTCCTGTAATGATTTTGAAAACAGAAAGTAGCATTCCTATTAGAGTGCAGGCACCAGATTAAAATTTCATTCTCTCTCTTATGCTTTGAACAGTGCAGAGCTAATGGAAATAAAAAGGTAGCAGCTTTTCGGCCAGTATTCTCAGTTGTCAATTGCCTATGGACAAAATTACTGCATGCAAATAGTACTCTTTTAGTGACCTAAAAGAAATGGATTTTCAAAGTAATATTCATGAGTTTTTTAGGTGCTTACAAATGTGTGCTATATGGACAATGTATTACTAAAATTGTAACTATTAAGGCCTTTCTTATCTTTGAGTTGAAATACACTCACAATGTATTTCATTTCCAGCATACCAACATAAAGAACATAACATTCCTCCCGATTAATGCAATAAAGAGTTTTTGTTGGCATTCCAACGGATATTTGAATAAAGAAAAGACCGTCATAGGTAAAACTACTTTCTTCTTAATTTTGGGGTGCTACACTTGTGATCATGAGATCAGTAAATCAGTTCATAAAAGCCCAGAAATTTTTCCAAGTCTGTCTATCAATAATAGATGAGATATAAAAGACGACTTTGAATATGTATTTTGGGAGCAGATCTCTGGCAGGAGGAAACTGCTGATATTTATCTCTTTAACTCACTTCTTTATGTAGGATTGGATTTTTTGTTCAGTGATAATCTAATCAACTGCTTCTGCCTCACTGGAGTTGAGCAATTTCATATCTGCATCTTGATGTATTTTACATTTATTGTCTTGGATCTACAATACACAACAAACCTGTGGTGTGCAAAGACCATTCTCTAACAGTAGTTTCTTCCAGAGGCAGAGTGGTGCTTTCTATTTCTGTCAATGGGTTTGTAAAACCAAGCTATCTACAGAGATAAAACATTTAGACTACTGCAAAGGTCTGAATCTGATCTTGCACTATTCCAATATTCAATTCCAATATTCTACTGTAAAAGTTGGTGGTGCTGGTTCCAGTTCATTCCAGTGTAAACGAAAAGGACTCCTGGCTCATTCTCTATAACATAACTAGTATTACAGATGCCACTGTGTCTAAAATTAGAAATCTCAGGCTTGGCTTAATCAGTGCTGAAGTTTGTTTGAATTTTCAACTCACCATTGCACGCTCTTTTGACGCTGATGAACCCTGCGTTGTTCCTCCGTCCTCAG